GGCCCAGCATTGGGCAAGAATTATGTAAATCTATGTTTTTATTAAAGTTTTTAATTTTTTAAAATTTAGATTAATAATGACCTCCCTTCCAGTTCCTGCATTTCTGACACGAGACGAGACGAGATGAGCACCTCTGTAATTTCAAACAGTCGCTGAATGGTTATTAAGTGAGGACTACCTGTAGTGGTGCTAAGTGACAGCAACATCAGGAAGGAGGAATATGAGAAGCTGGAGAAGTACCAGGGTCTGAAGGAGGAACTAGAGAGGATGTGGAAAGTAGTGGTCCCCGTGGTGGTAGGAGCACTCGGGGCTGTGACTCCTAAGCAGGGAGAGTGGTTCCAGCAGATCCCAGAAACAACATCAGAGCTCTCTGCTCAGAAGAGTGCATTGCTAGGAACACTAAGATATTGCACAGAACCCTCGAACTCCCAGGTCTCTGGTAAAGGACCCCAGATTGAGGAAGAGGAGAATATTTATAAACACGCACACACACAGCGCATGCAATTTTATAAGATGTATCCAAGTTATTATATAGCAATTCAGAAGTACTGATATACTATATGGCTTCACAAGTACATGTGAAGAGACATATTCTCCATTCCACATCTTTTAGATCTGGATCTCAGCTATATACTTTCATGTTCTTACAATGCTGGACTCCTAACTGTGGTATGCCCTACATAGAAGCCCAGTTGGTGTCTATTTTTATATTATTTCACTGCCAGGAAAATATTTTTCCTATGTTTTTATGGTTATGTTATTACACTCAATTTTAATCTTCCACTTTTCATTTTAAACTGCTTAAGTCATACATTTTGTTTTTAGTTTTAAGTTATTCCTTTGTTATAAGTTATACGTTTTGTTTTTAAGTTGTTCCTTTGTTTTAAATTATGGATAGTGCATTTTTAGTTCTATTTTTATAATTGTGGTTTTAACTGTTTGCTCCCTACATCAGAGGGGGCATCTTTTGGTGGGCAGGGCCACACTTAGCTCTTTCTAGACAGGAAGAGCTGCAGGATGATTTATATAAATAAGCAGCACCAAGTTTTTTTTTTTCTTTCTGGGTTTGTGTGTGCAGTCCTAAAATTGCAATGAAAGAATCTTTGATTCAAGTATTCTTGGTAAACTGTTTTTATATTCAGGGAGCTCAATTGTACCGACAGAAGTCCTACACAGTGCATAAACACAGAACATTTCAGCTGCAATTCTACAATAATTTTATTCAGAATGACTGGTTTTGAGCTCAGGAGGACATCTAAGAAAATAAGCAAAGGACTGAAATATCCCTGAAAATATACGGCCAAAACATTGTAGGAATGCTCACAGATACTATCCTTAATCGCTGCTCAAATAAGATTTCTTTACAGTGCTTTCTCTGAGGCAGAGAACACTTACTATAGATCAAACTGTGCCTGTTCCTACACCACTTTGTATCTCAGTGAAGTGTGTTTGTGCAGTTTTGAAACATGGTTGATGCAGGTAAATCCCTTATGTATAAAATGCATTAAGAAAAAGACTCTTCTGCTGATTAGCTTTTGCATGAAGGAGGATTTAATAACGTAATCCTTTACTGCCAGTCTGAAATGATATATCCCCGAAAACAGTTCTTAAAACACAAACTACTCCTCGTAAGCAGTTGAGCAGCCCTCCTGCGAAGACAGCATAGGAAGTAACCGTTCTCGCAACCGGGGCAGCGTTGAGGGAGCGGGGGCGGGGGGATGGAAATTGCCAGTGCCCTTCCTGCATCCGCCCCGCACGTGTATTACGCTAAGATCCTTGCCGGCTCTTCAATTCACTTCTGAGACACACTGAGCACGGAAGCTCTTTTGAGCATGCACGGCCAGCATGATTTGGCAGTTAAACTCGCTTTATACAACGGTTCTCCTTGCCAGTTTTTCTCCGTAACCCGAGAGGGTAGCTCACGCGCTCTGAAGCTATTTTTGCCAAAGCAGTTCTCTCCCCGCGGCCCCTTTCCTTCCCTAATAGTTAGCTTTCGCATTCTTCTCCGCTGCTCACCTTGAACCCGGCCGAATACCTCGTAATCCACCGATTTGAAGATCCGAGACATGATACCTGCAGGGAGAAAAGAAGCGTCACCCCCACTAGGAAAGGACTGAGAGCAAGCGACTGTCAGCGAGACTCAGCGGGCAGAGGCCGCGACGGAGACTCACAAGGCTCAAGATTCACTAGAGGGCGATCGCCCACCCGGCTAATCCCGGTCAATTCAGTAGGCTGAATCTCTCTCTCTTAAAAAAAAAAAAGGAGTATTTTAGGGGAAACTTTAAAGAGTTTTGCTCGACGTAACTTGTTCTTTCCCTTAAACTCTATTAGAACTGGGCATAGGGAAGTGAAACAATCCTCAAACTAAGGAGAACAAGTGAGATCCCTATGAACTCCTGAAAAAGAAACTTTGCAGTGCCTGCATTCCTCTTTCTTCCCCATTCTTTTTTCTTTTGAATGATGGATGTTAAATTGGATGCCTGCTGATTGTTTAATGCATGTACTATCCATTCTCTCCTTATGTGTGAATCCTCAAAAGTTTGAAGGGCTGCATCAAGGCCTAGTGTGTATACAAACCATTATCTGATTGATAACCCTGAAAACCAGGACAACCTTCATAGGCGGAGGGCTGAAAGATATAAAAGCTGGGACTGTAGGACTGGAATTAGCATGAATTGATGTATATATAGTAGAATGTGATAGAGAGACGAGACTATTTAAGAATGGTATTTTTTTCTAATGTTACACCTGTATGATCCATTTAGTATCCGAAGTCTGCCCAAAATTCCCAGGTGATGTGTAACTAGGAGACTTTGATGGAAAAAGAGCCAAAACTTCCATAGGAATGTTATTCTGTTACCTATTCTGGGGGGGGGGAAATGTGTATTTTGAAAATAACTTGGAATGTCCATTTCTCAGCCACCCAAATAAAGCAACTACATCAGCTACACATAACTGGAAATCTTTGATACAATAAGACTGGCAGAAGTCATATTCTGCGATGTATTTTGGTAAAAAAAAAAAAGTGTATTTTGGGAGATGGCTCAAAATGTCTCTTTCAAGTGAGGCAAACTGACCAGATTGTATTCATCACATACACCCACTCTTTGTTTAGCAACTACCTCAGTTAGCCATCATTAACAAATATGACAGTAATAAAAACATTCTGACCAATGCAGGCATTTATGACCAAATTTCATTCATCTGACCACAATGTACTCCAGAATGAGAGTAACGGTGTAGCTGTATGAGAGAATTTTATCTGAATGAGATGGCAGCAACCAGTGATCTTCATAGCATCTCTCTCTCTGTCTCTGTGTCATGTGTTCACTTAGTGACCATTTTGCTTAACAACCTGGTTGTTGTAACGGAACTCAGTTGCTAAATGAGGAGTGGGTATAACTAGATCATGTAAAATAAGACAGAAATCTTCCCCCAAAATCAGATTCTGCTACCTGTTCTAGCCAAAAGTCCATTTTGGAAAACAACCCAGATACCTACTTCCCAGACAACCAAGTCAATGAAATCTCACTGGTCACACATGAATTATAGGTTTTTTCATTAAAATGCTGATTTCCCAGACAGCCACACTAAGTCATCAGTCATGTATAACTAGTAGGCCTTGCTGTGTTAAGATCTAAAACATTCATGGGAAAAGTTCTGTTTCTTCTTTCATACCATCAAATCACTAGGACCATGAAGAAGTACACTCTCTCATAGTGCTGTGCTGGGAGTTACCTGTAAACTACACATGTTTTAGCTGTTGTGCATAGGGCTTTGATTGGTGATAAAAAGAGATTTTAGCAAACAAAATTAACAGTAATTTTTAAAAAGTTTCCAGTTGCCTTACAGTATTACTACTCTAAGCAGTATCTCTTGACCCCCAAAATATTTAACTCAAACAAGCGATGATTAGCTTGTTTATTTAGAGGAAACTTAATTTTCATAAAGAACAACCTTCATTTTTATCTTCACTTATACTCAGTGAAACTTGCCTCACTCGGCAAGGATGGAAATTAAAAATGGAACTGTAATGTTTTATTAATCCATTTTAAATTCTTGAGATTAATTAACTTAAGATGCCTCCAATTAATTGGAAAGATTTGAAACTTTTAATAAACTTTATAAAATAGGGCAGCAAGTACAGTTTATAAGAATATTTCCTATGATCTCACTCAAGAAATGCCTTTTCCAAGGGGGCACATATTATAATCAAACAACAATCCTCTAAAAATGAAATATGCCATTTTAAAAATGCTAAATATACAAATGATATATATGCAAATGTATGCACTTTGAAAAATTAAGAAATAATTATAACTTACATTTCTTTAATCAGATTATATGCCCAGCTAAATGAACATCTAGACAATGTTTCAAAGAGGACAAAGTGATATGTTGAGAAGAAACAGAAGGCCTCAGATAAAATTAGAAGCAAAGCAGAACAAATAACTGACATGCAAAGAGTATTTTAGGCATCCTGGTGTCTCAAAGGCACTTAGAAGATTGTGTTTTGCATACTTTACTGAATATCCAACCAATGTCAGGTTTCTTCTTCAAAACTCTCTTCTATCTTCCTGAGTAGAAAATAATACCCTGCAGGAAGCCTCCTACCCTACAGAGCTGAAGTATGGGAGAATGCTCAGAGATGTACTGTATGTTAACAGATCTCACCCAAACCTCCTTGTTCTGTTCAATTTCTGGATGGAGGTCTGTTCTGTATTCTTTAAAGTCTGGTGGGGCTGAAGAGGCAGCAGTCCTCCAAGGAACAGCAAGTGGTGGGGGAAAGCAATTACTTTCAATAATATTCTACAGCAAGAACTGAAATAAATCACCATTAGCATGATTGGCACTTGAAATACTGGGTTTGGGCCAGTTCAGTAGTGGTTTTTGATAGGAAGTCAAAATTCCAGATGCCGATGTAATTTCTGATAATGATAGGGATTTTGTGGCTATTGTGGACCCTTTTCAGTTGGGGTTCAGGCCCGGATATGGGTCAGAAACAGCATTGGTTGCGCTTTTTGATGATCTCTGGCGGGAGCAAGATGGAGGTAGTGTGTCCATCCTTGCTCCACTTGACCTCTTGGCAGCTTTCAATACATTTTGATCATTTACAACTCTTACTGATAAGAGTTCAGTGTTAGGCAGTTGTCAGCAAAAGTTACCAATCATTCAAGTGAACATGTACTGTAGTGCTCAGGAGCAGAACACACAGAAACATACCAGAACCAGCAAGTCTCTTTTCCCAGGCCAGGCCCATACAGGTAGTCTTGAATAGCCTTTAAATTTAGGAGGGCTGCATTGTCAATCTCATGACCAGAACCAATCCAAAGACTGAACTTACCTTTTTACCCTAGGTCAGTTTTTCTCTCTTGCTGGCTGGAGAATTCCGGGAGTTGAAATCCACATATCTTGAAGTTGCTAAGGTTGAGAAACACTGCCCTAGAAGATACCCATATCAGCTTTACTGGCTTACTACACAGGACAGTTACATATAGAAACAAGACATTCCATCTCTAGTTCTAGCCCTTCCTGTTACAGATGGCATGTGGTGCTTTTCTGAAGTTTGATGCTATTCTATAATTTTATTCCCTTTCATCTCTCCATTCTTTCCACTTGGTTTAGTCTTATTCATTTATAAAATTTATAAAGCTGCCTGACTCCATTGCAACTCTGGGCAGCATACAATGTTAAAATAATTCAAAAATACAAACAAAAGAACAGGCATCAACACCCCCCCACACACACAAACTGCCATATAACATAAGAGGGGACCACAACCATTCTAGATTTTGTGGTTTAATTATTTAATTATAAATGAGGTTTTATTATTGGAGCCTATGTATATTTGGTTTTTAAAATATTTTTAAAGCCATTTCAAATGTGTCTAATAGAAATTAAGGGCTTTAAAAATAAATAGGCATAATGTCTCCTTCTTCCTGATTTTAATCCTCCATTTGGGTCATTGGAAAATTCTTATTTTTGACCAAGAAAAGAACTAAAAAATTAGGGGAAAATTGTAAATGCTCTGCTGTAGATTATATCGCCCCAGACTCAACATGAGTTATTTAAAATCGCTTCAGTTGGTACTTTGTAGAATTGTTTCTTAGGAAATGGGGGAATTAATTCTTGCCCTTTTCATCCAATAATGGCAACCATGTGGCTGCCCTGGCCCACATGAAAGAATTTAAGCAACAGGGAAGTGTGTGGGTTGTCCTTGACCTGGGTTTAAATGTGGTGGTTTGCCATCAATTACATCTTCCAGAACTGTGAATCAGTTTAATGCATTTTCAGAAACAACCCACTGTTTCTGCAACAAAGAAGCTGTCATTAACAATTCAGGATTGTGAGATATTTCTTTTTAAGCAGACTTTTCAGTCAAATCTTGCTGAATAGATTCACATCACAACCAAGTTTCATTTAATACATTCATTTCCATTGGACAATGACTCCAAAAGTTGAAAGAGCATGTGCTGTATTTAACTTTGTAGGAACAAAGGAAAATTTCTCCAGGATTTTTTTTTTTCTAAAACTGCCAACACATACACACATACTTTTTAGTGCAAATTCTCCTCCAGCAACTTATAATACATATTTATAAGTAGTATAATAATGAAATGACATGTTTTTTATCTTTTTCAACACATCTACATTTGTGCTTTTGTTTAATTCTTATTGTCCAGGTACATATTAGGCCATCCCTCGCTGGACAGGAGTAGTTATAAGATCATTTCAAATGATTCAGTATGCCAGTCTGAATTCTAATTGTCACTGTAGAGATGTTCCCCAAGACAGCATATTTGCTTCTTTTCATTTCTTCTTTGAATGTGGAAATTACTACTCATGTCTAACGTGCAACTGAATTTATGCATCAAACCAAGACATGGCATATTTAAGAAGACATAATGGCTGGTTCATATTTAATGCTATGCCATAAATTATAATTTATAAACCACAATACAATAAACTAAAAACAAGCAAATCATGTTATGATTTAGTGTTCTCTCAGACCACTTTATATAATCTTGGTTGGTCTCAGGCAAAAAACTTCATTGCCCATTTATTTATTTATTTATTTACATATATTTATATTTCTCTTTTTTTAAATAAATGTTATTTTTTTTTAAAAAAAAGTTAAAATACATAAAAATCAACAAAAAGGAAAAAAAGCCATAGA